TTAATCTAAAGTAAATAACTAGTTTTCAGTTTTGCTATTTAGTTGAATTTTTCGTTTATTTAGGCAAAAAATAGTCCATTGGATACGAAGAAAGAAGAAAAGACATCCGTAATCGGTTAAATACGAAACTACACGTATATAACCAACAACATCATCTTAAATAATTTTAAAACCCACAACATCGAACCGTATTTTGCTAGTATATACTGATAGTACAATTAAGAAGTTCATTATCAGCTGCAAAATAATATATAACCATATTAACAACAATATTTGTTGTTAAAGAATATTATTATCATTTTCAAAGCATCTAATTTCCTAGAAAACACCGTCGGATCCGTACAGGGAGCAAACTCCATAGATATCAGCCTCAAAAAAGCATCAGAATCGGAATGTAATTAAGCATATTAATTAAAAACTAATTAAACATAAACAGTCCAAACTCTCCGATGAGCCCTAAGGAATGTCAGAATCAGAAATCGCCCAACTGTTTTAAAAATCATTATTTCTACAAACATTCCATCTTCAAAAGTGTTTATCTTGATTTTTCTAGAGTGTTCTGGTTATACATACACACACGCACGCACACACATATATAATAAAATAAGATAAACATGGTTGGCTAATTTGCAGGAAACTTGCAGCTGGTCGATGTCAATGACCAAGGTCAGCACACGCATTCTTTTTTTTATCTCTTATGTTTGTTGGATTGTTTTAGTCACCTTCGTGCCAACTGCCTGAAACTTGTTCGACATGCGAGTAATTAAACCTGTCCAATCACCAGTTATATTTTACAGTGCTATTATGCGTGTGTCTCCCTCATATCATGTGACTAGATAGAGACATAGTTGCATATAACCAATGACATCAAAGAATCTCGCACCGTAAATATTACTGGTAGAATAAGAGCAAAATGAGGTTTATGAGTTTTACAAATCACATATGAACAAATAAACAATGGATAAATTTTGGGATTTATTTTTGACGTTTGAAAAGTTAGTCGAGTCTAACTTATCTAATCACTGTAGCTGTGAATAAAGTCAGTTCATAAAAGACGTGCATGTATATGTAGATTAAATCAATTGATCACAACAATGTGTCAGCTGATTTCATTACGCCCGAGTTTGAATCCTCCTCGCATAAAGTCGAATGGTTTGAAATATGGTAAAAAATAAATGATTATCTAATCATTAATGAATGGACGAGAAAACCCTTCAAGAATTGAAACTGGCATGAAACCTTGCACATGCTATGACTGGCATGCCGCATGCAGCAGCTAGCAACGAACCGGCCATATGAGCAACTCCAAAACCACATGGATCCATTAGAATTTTGGATCTTTGTGTTTACTTACCAGAGTACAGACATTCAAAATTTTCTTAGAGGCTTTGATTACATCGTGCCCCTAGTTTTTTGACCCAAAACAGTTGTGGCAACACAAAACAAAAACAGCATAAATCCAAAACAAGCACACAAATTATATATACGTTCACATCCTTCCTTCAGGTTCAAGCAACCACGGAAACAAGGACCACAGAAACAAAGAAAGAAGAGAAGAAAAAAAAGATTCTGATCGAGATGGAGTTGATGATGGTGAAGAATGAAGAAAACCCTGGGAGGCGCCGCCTGAGTGCAGCAGACCGCGAGGTTCAGGCAGCCCGGTGTGTCAAGAGAAGGAGAAGAGACCCACCTGCAGTCGCGGTTAGTTCTGACAACAACCAGAGTGAGCTACAGTTGCCTCAAAAGCCAGCGGATCAAACTCCAGCTACCACCATGAAGAGAAGCTCGAGATTTCGTGGTGTCAGCAGGTTAGAACGGAACAAAAATTTCCATGGTTTTCTGGTTTCTCCTTTCGTGTGTAAATATATTAAGGTAATTTGTTTGTTTAACAGGCATCGATGGACTGGTCGATTCGAAGCTCACTTGTGGGATAAGCTCTCTTGGAATGTAACACAGAAGAAGAAAGGGAAACAAGGTATCGATTATAACGTTCATTTATTTCTATTTTTTTTTTGTTTTACTTCATTACGTTTAATTATTTATCCTTCTGGTATTCATATCTTGTGTTCTATCGCATCGCTTTCGAATGGGCTATTTGGACTGAGCAGTTTACCTTGGAGCTTATGATGAAGAAGAATCTGCTGCAAGAGCATATGATCTAGCTGCCCCTTAAGTATTGGGGAGCATCGACCTTCACCAACTTCCCAGTACGCTTTTTTGCTCATCGAATCTGATCGGCAAGTTGTGTGTTTTTGCATTCCTTTAGAAGTTTAACATAAAACCCCTACTGCTTACAGATATCGGACTATGAGAAAGAAATCGAGATCATGCAATCTGTGACGAAAGAAGAGTATTTGGCCTCGTTAAGAAGGTACGACTTCAAACATCTTTTGCAGTAAGACTTCTGCAATTCGGAATTTCCTTGATCATGAGTTTCCTAAAAGATTATTTGTTTCTTTTTCGTTACAGAAAAAGCAGTGGATTTTCAAGAGGTGTATCAAAGTACAGAGGAGTTGCAAGGTAATATTCTTATTATTTCGATGATCTTCGAATCAAATTCTTCGAAAAATTATTAACGAGATTAGTCTCCGATGATTATTTGGTGCATATTTTGCAGGCACCATCACAATGGCAGATGGGAAGCAAGAATCGGAAGAGTTTTCGGAAACAAGTACCTCTACCTTGGCACTTACGGTAAGTTATCTTCAAATGCAAATACTAGCTGGAATTTGGGAAATAAGCTTTCACAAAAGAGGGAACTGAAAAATAATTTGTGCAACACGTTTGTTGTTTATTAAAAACGATATATCAACGCATTATTGATGATATATCAACAATTGGTTCTTTATTAAAGAACAGACGTCCGCTCCATGGACTTTCGAAATCATAAGAAATAGAATTTGCACATACTGAGCAATGTGTTTCTATGTCATCTCAGGTACGCAAGAGGAAGCAGCTCGGGCCTACGACATTGCGGCGATTGAGTACAGAGGAATCAATGCCGTCACCAATTTTGACTTAAGTTCTTACATAAGATGTTGAAGCCAAAAGCAGGCGACACTATAGCCACTCAAGAACTAGAGGCAGTCACAGGGCCTCAGAACATGCCATTCATGGGCAACGGCTACATCCCTGCAGACGAAACATCCTTCTCACACACCAATCCTTTTGCCTCTGACTACCTGAACTCTCCGCAGAACCAAGAAGTCACCCGAAGCAGCACCAATCTTAACACCGGCAGCAAGTCATCCTCTCCCACCGCACTTGGCCTTCTTCTTCAATCTTCAATTTTCCGAGAGCTGGTTCAGAAGAACTCGAATCTCTCCGAGGATGACAGCACTGACGACGAAGAACCAAAGAACCAACCGCAGGCTGGCAGCGATGATGAGTATGGTGGGATCTTCTATGCTGGAACCGGCGAAAACCCTTTTGTTTGCTCCTCCGGCACTGACGGCAACAATCCATGGAACAACATCGCAAGCACTATTTTGCTCAATCAACCCACAAAGGCAAATGCTTCAGACTCTATATTTTTCTTTTCTTAGATGAATGCCAAACAGACCAAGGACTTGTTCGTACGGGAAGAAAATTTTGTAAAAACCGGCGCGTCAAAAGTACATAGTTTGGGATTGATGCTGCATATCGATGTAAATTAGACACCTTAATAACGTCGAGTTTATGGTTTTGGGAATGTAATATTTATAAACTCTTTCGGATTTGCGATCATTTCATCTTGCCTTGGTTTGAATTATGCCTAATCACACGAAAACGAAAGAACTTTCGATTGAGTTTGAGCCTGCGTAGACGTGAAATCGACAAGTACAACAATGGTTCTTGCTCAAAAGTGAAGCACAGTTGTAAGTTCAACCATTTTATCTCTGTTTTCCAGTTCATTTCTATTCCGTTTCTGCACCAAACACTTCCATTCAATTTTTTTTTGGCCAACCAACTTCTGCAGTCCGTGGAACCTAGTGTTAGCTCGTGTTATAACCACCCCCAAAATAATTGGAAAATTTGTATTTTCACCCCCAAGCCGCCACGTGTCAATCATCCAACCCCATTTCTTTTTCCTTTTCTCTGTCCCCCACCCCCCGTGACTCTCTTCTTCTCTGTCTCTCTTTCCCGTAACTCTCTCTCCACTCCCCCGAAGCTCTCTCACTCTCCCGTGAATCTCTCTATCCCTCTCAATCTCTCGCACCTCTATCTCTATCCTCCTGGACTCACGAAGACCATACCACCCTCAGGAGAGGCTTGTAGCAAGCCCGAACTCCCCCTGCCCGCGAGACCGACGGCACGGAGCGAAGCTCCGGCGAGTTTTCTTCCTTTTTCCGTCGGGTAGGTCTCAAATCTCTCACTCTCGTACCTAGTTGTGGTTTGGTTGTGATTTAGAAGCTTGAATCTCCACTTTTTGCGTAGGTTTTTACCTTGGAAACGGTTTTTGGGTGAGCACACCCATTTTTCCGGCGAACCCGTGCATTCCGAGGGCTTTCCCGGTCACCCCGACCGAGTTACGGTATTTGGAAGGTATAAATCTCTTCCTCTCTCTTTGTTCTTCATGATCGTACCTAGATCGGAGCTTGAAGCTCCAGTTTTCAGGTGACCGGAGCTGTAGCAGCTCCGGCCTTCTCTCTCGGCAAGCCAAGGCCAACCGGCCTTTCCCATTTCCTTTCCCGCGGGCCTCCAGCCCGTTTTGTCTTAGCCCAATACCCTAACCCATTTAGTTTTTATTTTTAGTTATATGTTTTAAAACCCAAAGGGCTCAGGCCCGAGTTTTGGTTGGCCCTGGGCCGGTTTTCACCCAAGGGCTTAAAGCCCTGATTTTTGTTAGGAGGCCTTAGGGCCTTGTGTAGTGTGTGTGTGTTTATAGTATATGTATGTTTGGGCTTAAGCCCAAACCCCTTTTTCAAACCCTAAACCCATCCAAACCCAATTCCCTTATTTTATTCGTTAAACCAATCTTTTAGAAAATCCTTTTATTTAATTATTACATTCTTGTTCTTAGGTGAAATTGCTAGTGGAGAAATTCTGTATCCTTATTCGCACGACTCTTCTGCTAAGGAATATTTGTGAGTGGACCCCTTCTAAAATTACATGATTTAATAGTAATTGCATAAATGATTAGCATGCCTACGAATTTTGTGAATTGATTTATATTAATCATGTTTACTGAATTTATTGTTTATCGTCTCGTGTTTTGGTGAGGAATTAATGGTTAGCCTATATTGAGCTATATTTTAATATATCTATTTTCTATAAAAACCATGAACTGGTAGACTATCTGATGGATGACGATAGGATGCTAGAACATGATTTTGAACCCTCTTTATAGCGTAGACGATATTCGGTAACCTATGCTATGAAGTGGTATTTACGAGAGACGTAAATATTTGTGCATACCTAGTAGACACTATGCCGCCTGGGGCGAGGAACTGGTGTTGGCATTTAGGCCGGGAGAAATAATCCCTAGCTACGGGCTGAGGGACATGGAGCAGGTATTGGGCCGGGAGTTGGTAATCTCTTGTTACGGGCGCAGAGACCACGGAGCAGGCATTGGGCCGGGAGATATATTTATTCAGTGATCTTTCTAGCAGCACACCGCGCTTACGAGACAATTTATGATACGTTTATTGTTTGATTTCTGCAATGATATTCCGCTATACATATGAGTTTTGAGACATTTGACATGCTAGGATTTTTATTAAATCCATCATTTATTATGCTAGTAGTTTTCATTATATAAACTTTGGGGGTTAGTATTTTGATAACTGTTTTATTATTATCGTACATATGAACTTGGTCCACTCACCTTTGTTTTGCGTCCCCATTCAGGTCATAGAAACGAGGACTACGACTGGACGTACGAGGCATTCCCCTACCAGTAGCACTCCATCACCCACTTGTGTGATATCTTGTAATGTTCTTTCTTTTTGTAAATCTAGTTTAGACTGTGTCTGGTTCATTCTAGACGTTTCCGTGAATGTTGTTAACTACTCTTAAATTCTGATGTTATTCATGAATATTTTCTTCTAATCATTACTCTTGTAATCAATTAATGGCTTTCGTCACCTTGGGAGTCGGCCAGCACGTGTCTATCCTGATATTCGAAGAATATCAGGGTCAGGGCGTGTTAGATTGGTATCAGAGCATGGTTAGAATTTATTTCCACTAATTTGGTAAATGTCAGTCTTTCTAAAATCCTGTTGTCTTGTCAGAATCATGGCTAATCCTGGTGGGAATGTGCCTCGACGACCTCGTTCATCTATTATGGGGGGGCTTCAGCAGTTTACTAATGCCTTAATGAATGCTCTTCCGGGTCATAGACCGAATCGGTCGTATATAGAAGTTGCCAAAAGCCATGGAGTTACCGATTTGACAACTGTGGGGAATGGTCAGGAGGCTGAACAGTGGTTGGAGAAAATGAAGGATACTCTAGAGGCTATGAAGTGTCCTCTAAATGAGTGGGCGAGTACTGCAGGATTCTTTATCCAGGGTGATGCTAGAAGTTGGTGGAAAACAGCGAAGAATTCTCGTCCACCTGGTTCTTGGATGACTTGGGCTGCTTTCCGAAAACGTTTTATTGCCTATTTTCTGAGCCCCAGCTACAGACTGAGGAAGAGGCAGGAATACTTAGAGTTCCGACAGGGTGATCTCAGCATTACAGAGTTCGACAACACTTTTAGGCGTTTGTCTAGACACCATGATGGGACGTATGATAACCCTCAGGCACAGATGGAGCAGGCGTTAATTGCACTGAATCAGGAGTACCGTACACTGGTGGCTGCTCAGAGACCTAGAACCTATGAAGATATAATCGAAATAAGTCTCAGCATAGAACAGTCTAAGTGGGATACAGAGATGCAGGATCAGCCACAGACTTGGATTCAGCCTCAGAGACAGAATAGGCAACGGAGTCAGAATCAGAGGAATCGGAATTTCCGATCGCGGAGTACCAGAGAATCAGCGGGCCCTTCCAGTTCTGTAGGCCCCAGACATTCTTTTTCCTTTAAGCGACCAGGTCGGGGTTCCGGATCTTCCAGTGAAGGCTCAGGCAACGAATCAGCGAGGCGATCTTTCAGTCACTTCACTCCGGGTTATGCAGTCTGTAATCAGTGTAGGTTACGTCATCGAGGGAGTTGTGGGATGACGACTGTAGTATGTCACCGATGCGGTGGAACCGGGCATTTTGTTCGTGATTGTCCTTCAGCACCACCTGGTAACTTTCCCTCTAATTCAATCTACAGTGGGTATCGGCCAGTTCAGAATGTTGGCGCTCGACAGAGCTATGATGGCAGTGGCAGTAGTAGTCAAAGCTATGGTAGCAGTACTAATCAGAACTTCGGGGGAAATAGAGGTCCGCAGCTTGGTGGCAGAGGTAGTCAGAGTTTCAGAGGAAGTGACAGCCGAAGTACTCAGTTTTCGACTCAGCAGCAGGCCGGAACATCTTCTGGTAGCAGTAGTCAGGGGAGCAGAGCAGGACGTAATTCCAGAGGTCGTGGTGGTCGAAACAATAATGCGGGGTATCAGGCTCATGGGCGTACAAATGCCATGACTCAGCAGGAGGCTGATCAGGATCCTCGAGTTATTACCGGTACGTTACCTGTCTGTAATACTTGGGCTAGAGTTTTAATTGATCCGGGTGCTACGCAGTCTTTTGTTTCTTCATCTTTTGCTCGGGTTATGCATTCTGAACCTCAGCCCCTAGGTTTTGATATGTTGATTCAAATGCCAAGGGGTGAATTACTTTGTGCTCAATGGCAATATCGGAATTGTCCAGTGATTGTGGAAGGGGAGAACTTAGAGGTTGATTTAATTCCTTTCAAACTGGCGGAATTTGATGTCATTCTGGGAATGGATTGGTTGTCTAAGCACCGAGCGAATGTCGCATGTTGGGAGAAAACGGTGACGTTCAATCGACCGGGACTTCCAGCAGTGACAATAATGGGTGAGCGACGTGTCCTCCCTAGTAGTATTATTTCTGCCATTCGAGCAACAAGGTTGCTGAATAAAGGTTGTGTGGGGTTTCTAGCCCACGTAGTGGTGAAGGATGAACCTTCTTTACGTCCTGAAGATGTGCCAGTCGTAAAAGATTTTGTTGATGTATTTCCTGATGATTTACCGGGATTGCCACCTGCGAGAGAAATTGAGTTCACTATCGATTTACTCCCAGGTACTAATCCTATTTCCTTGGCACCTTATCGTATGGCACCAGCGGAATTGAGAGAATTGAAGATTCAACTCCAGGAATTGGTGGACAAGGGTTACATCCAGCCGAGTACTTCCCCGTGGGGAGCTCCTGTTCTTTTTGTGAGAAAGAATGATGGATCGATGAGGCTCTGTATCAATTATAGGCAACTGAATCAGGTGACGGTGAAAAATCGTTACCCTCTACCTCGGATCGATGATTTATTTGATCAGTTGAAAGGTGCTCAGGTATTTTCCAAAATTGATCTTCGATCGGGTTACCATCAGTTGAGGATTCGCGAGGATGATGTCCCGAAAACTGCTTTCCGTACAAGGTATGGGCATTATGAATTTCGTGTCATGCCTTTCGGATTGACAAATGCACCTGCAGCATTTATGGATTTGATGAACAGAGTTTTTAGACCGTATCTGGATCAGTTTGTGATTGTGTTCATTGATGACATTTTAATTTACTCTAAAAGTGCGAGGGAGCACAGAAAGCATTTGAGACTAGTGCTAAAACGTTTGAGGGATGATCAGCTTTATGCCAAATTCAGTAAGTGCCAGTTTTGGTTGACTCAGGTTGGTTTTCTTGGCCACATAGTTTCTGCTGAAGGAATTAGTGTGGATCCCCAAAAGGTGTCAGCAGTATCTAACTGGCAACAACCAAAGACTGTTACTGAAATAAGAAGTTTTCTGGGTTTGACAGGGTATTATCGGAGATTTATTCAGAATTTTTCTGCAATTGCTCTACCTCTTACTAAGTTGACTCGTAAGGGTGTTAAGTTCATGTGGGATGAAAATTGTGAGCAAAGTTTTCAGGAGCTTAAGCGACGCCTCACTCAAGCCCATGTTCTCGCTCTTCCTGAGGACAGTGGTGAATTTGAGGTATATACTGATGCTTCTCTATCAGGTTTTGGGTGTGTACTGATGCAGCATGGAAAGGTTATTGCCTACGCTTCCAGACAGCTCAAAACTCATGAAAGAAATTATCCTACTCATGATTTGGAGTTAGGAGCGGTGATTTCGCTTTGAAAATTTGGAGATACTATTTGTATGGAGAGAAATGCCGTATTTTTACGGATCATAAAAGTCTTAAGTATGTGTTCACCAAGAAGGAGCTGAATTTGAGGCAGAGAAGGTGGATGGAGCTTATCAGTGATTATGACTGTTCGATCGAGTACCACCCTGGGCACGCAAATGCTGTGGCTGATGCTCTTAGTTGGAAACACCACGAGCAGCTTGCATCACTTCAGACTATGCACGTTCCATTACTATTTTCTCTTCGGGAAATGGGTGTTAATTTGGAACCGGGTAAGCATGGAGCTTGGCTAGCACATTTCCAGGTTAGACCTATTTTTGTTGATATGGTCATAGAAGCTCAAGAACTTGATCCTGAATGCGACGCAATAAAGCACAAGTGTTGAAAGGGGATAATGATCTGTTCAGCATCCGTGAGGACGGAGCGTTAGTGAAAGGAAAACGTTTGTTTGTGCCTAAAGATAATGAAGCGGTTAAGAGGGAAATTCTTGATGAGGCTCACACTTCAGCTTATGCTATGCATCCAGGGAGTACTAAATTGTATCGTACCATTTATCCTTTCTATTACTGGGAAGGAATGAAACGGGATGTAGCAGAGTATGTGAGCAGATGTCTAATCTGTCAACAGGTTAAAGCAGACAGGCAGAGACCTGGAGGATTGATGCAGAACCTTCCAATACCAGTTTGGAAGTGGGAGGATATCACTATGGACTTTGTATATGGGCTGCCTAGAACACCGTCAAGGTATGATGGTATTTGGGTAATTGTTGATCGGCTTACTAAGACCGCCCATTTCTTACCAGTTCGACAGACCTACTCACTGGAGAAATTGGCGAAATTATTTGTGGATAATATTGTTCATCTGCATGGTGTACCCGTCTCTATTGTGTCAGACAGAGATCCCAGATTTACTTCAAGGTTCTGGAAAGCCTTTAATGCCGCTATGGGTACTCAATTACTGTTCAGCACTGCTTATCATCCACAAACTGATGGTCAGTCCGAGCGGACGATTCAGACTTTAGAAGACATGTTGAGAGTGTCTGTATTGCAGTGGAAAGGTAGTTGGGATAACTATTTACCGTTGGTGGAGTTTGCTTATAATAATAGTTATCACTCGAGTATTGGTATGTCGCCTTTTGAAGCACTTTACGGGAAGGCGTGTAGGACGCCATTATGTTGGACAGAGGCAGGAGAAAGGCCGTTGGTGGGACCAGAGATTGTGGATACCACCAACGCTAATATCCGTTTGATTAAGGCAAACTTGAAAGCAGCTCAGGACCGACAGAAAAGTATTGCGGACAAACACTCCAAGGATCGTGAGTATGTAGTGGGTGACTATGTGTTCTTGAAATTATCTCCTTGGAAGGGTGTTGTTCGTTTCGGTAAGCGAGGAAAGCTGAGTCCTCGATATGTTGGTCCTTATCAGATTATTGAGAGGATTGGTGCAGTTGCTTATAGGTTGGAGCTACCACCGGAATTGTCGCAGATCCATAACGTTTTCCATGTTTCCATGCTTCAGAAATATGTACCGGATCCTTCTCATATCATCCAGATTGAGCCATTGGAAGTAAATCCGGATGTTAGCTATGTAGAAGAACCAGTGGCTATCATTGACGGGCAGGATAGGTGTTGCGGAACAAGGTTATTCATTTGGTAAAAGTACTGTGGAGGAACCATGCAATCGAAGAAGCTACTTGGGAGACAGAGGAATCAATGCAGAACCAGTATCCCTTTCTTTTCGTGTAATTTGTAATTTCGAGGACGAAATTATTGTAAGGGGGGTAGATTGTTACAACCACCCCCAAAATAATTGGAAAATTTGTATTTTCACCCCAAGCCGCCACGTGTCAATCATCCAACCCCATTTCTTTTTCCTTTTCTCTGTCCCCCACCCCCGTGACTCTCTTCTTCTCTGTCTCTCTTTCCCGTAACTCTCTCTCCACTCCCCCGAAGCTCTCTCACTCTCCCGTGAATCTCTCTATCCCTCTCAATCTCTCGCACCTCTATCTCTATCCTCCTGGACTCACGAAGACCATACCACCCTCAGGAAAGGCTTGTAGCAAGCCCGAAACTCCCCCTGCCCGCGAGACCGACGGCACGGAGCGAAGCTCCGGCGAGTTTTCTTCCTTTTTCCGTCGGGTAGGTCTCAAATCTCTCACTCTCGTACCTAGTTGTGGTTTGGTTGTGATTTAGAAGCTTGAATCTCCACTTTTTGCGTAGGTTTTACCTTGGAAACGGTTTGGGTGAGCACACCTATTTTTCCGGCGAACCCGTGCATTCCGAGGGCTTTCCCGGTCACCCCGACCGAGTTACGGTATTTGGAAGGTATAAATCTCTTCCTCTCTCTTTGTTCTTCACGATCGTACCTAGATTGGAGTTAGAAGCTCCAGTTTTCAGGTGACCGGAGCTGTAGCAGCTCCGACCTTCTCTCTCGGCAAGCCAAGGCCAACCGGCCTTTCCCATTTCCTTTCCCGCGGGCCTCCAGCCCGTTTTGTCTTAGCCCAATACCCTAACCCATTTAGTTTTTATTTTTAGTTATATGTTTAAAACCCAAAGGGCTTAGGCCCTAGTTTTGGTTGGCCCTGGGCCGGTTTTCACCCAAGGGCTTAAAGCCCTGATTTTTGTTAGGAGGCCTTAGGGCCTTGTGTAGTGTGTGTGTGTGTTTATAGTATATGTATGTTTGGGCTTAAGCCCAAACCCCTTTTTCAAACCCTAAACCCATCCAAACCCAATTCCCTTATTTTATTCGTTTAAACCAATCTTTTAGAAAATCCTTTTATTTAATTATTACATTCTTGTTCTTAGGTAAAATTGCTAGTGGAGAAATTCTGTATCCTTATTCGCACGACTCTTCTGCTAAGGAATATTTGTGAGTGGACCCCTTCTAAAATTACATGATTTAATAGTAATTGCATAAATGATTAGCATGCCTGCGAATTTTGTGAATTGATTTATATTAATCATGTTTACTGAATTTATTGTTTATCGTCTCGTGTTTTGGTGAGGAATTAATGGTTAGCCTATATTGAGCTATATTTTAATATATCTATTTTCTATAAAAACCATGAACTGGTAGACTATCTGATGCATGACGATAGGATGCTAGAACATGATTTTGAACCCTCTTTATAGCGTAGACGATATTCGGTAACCTATGCTATGAAGTGGTATTTACGAGAGACGTAAATATTTGTGCATACCTAGTAGACATTATGCCGCCTGGGGCGAGGAACTGGTGTTGGCATTTAGGCCGGGAGAAATAATCCCTAGCTACGGGCTGAGGGACATGGAGCAGGTATTGGGCCGGGAGTTGGTAATCTCTGGTTACGGGCGCAGAGACCACAGAGCAGGCATTGGGCCGGGAGATATATTTATTCAGTGATCTTTCTAGCAGCACACCGCGCTTACGAGATGATTTATGTTACGTTTATTGTTTTGATTTCTGCGATGATATTCCGCTATACATATGAGTTTTGAGACATTTGGCATGCTAGGATTTTTATTAAATCCATCATTTATTATGCTAGTAGTTTTCATTATATAAACTTTGGGGGTTAATATTTTGATAACTGTTTTATTATTATCGTACATATGAACTTGGTCCACTCACCTTTGTTTTGCGCCCCCATTCAAGTCATAGAAACGAGGACTACGACTGGACGTACGAGGCATTCCCCTACCAGTAGCACTCCATCACCCACTTGTGTGATATCTTGTAATGTTCTTTCTTTTTGTAAATCTAGTTTAGACTGTGTCTGGTTCATTCTAGACGTTTCTGTGAATGTTGTTAACTACTCTTAAATTCTGATGTTATTCATGAATATTTTCTTCTAATCATTACTCTTGTAATCAATTAATGGCTTTCGTCATCTTGGGTGTCGGCCAGCACGTGTCTATCCTGATATTCGAAAGAATATCAGGGTCGGGGCGTGTTAGCTCGCATCTGCTATGGTCTCACACTGGGTTCCACAGATCGTCTACACCTGTGTTGTATAAACAATTCACATGGAAGTCGGTCTAAAAGAACAACTCAGAAACACCACCACCATAAAAGTAACACGAACCCTAGAATTCTACGAACAGCATACCGTTAGTGGTAATTCGGTGAGTAAGGTACTCATAGAAGTAAATGGGCAGAGTCGTATCCAGTGCACAAGGCTCCCGCTTTACGCAAGGTCTGGGAGAGGTGAATGTCGGCTAGCCTTACCCCCATTTATGGAGAGGCTGCTCCCAAGTCTCGAACCCGAGACCTACCGCTCATGGGCAGAGTAAGAAGTTAAAATGCAGTAGAGTTATGAGCAAAACTGAAGACTAGGGCCTGACATACGAATCATGTTTCTTACAGAAATACAGTGTAGTATTGAATTCGAACGATACAAACTTCACTTCCTCTAAGCTTCAAAATTGCTTACTTTTATTTCGAAAGACTTTATCTCGTTTAGAATGAAGATAAAAGGCAAAAACGATAACAAATGCCACCATAAAGATCCCGTTCCATGGAACGGGTGGGTCCTTGAAACATACAAGGGACGCCTCCACGTCTTGGGTGGCTTGATAGACGAGAGACTGCATGGCGTATAGGTCGTGGTCTGAGGCCTGCAAATAAAACAAAGCCATCTCGAAATCCAAAAGTGACATTGCAGAGACTGATTTGTCCAGCTTATACTTGAACAAGTTCCACCTCTGTATGAACTCAACGTGTTGACTACGCTTGAGGAGCTTTCTTTCCCCACCATGTGCAACTAAGGATTCGAGAACATCTACAGCAGTTGATATGCTGTAATTCATTGTTGTCAAAAGAACATTTCTCCGAGCAGCATCCTTCTGCACAAATGATAAGGATGAAATCTCAGAGAATGGCCCAAATGGAGTCTGGCCGATACTCCATGTGTAATCCACCAATGTAGTATTGTGCCTAGGGCTCCAGAGCATATGGGTTGGTGACACTCCCCACATGCTCTGCAGAATTGAACCAACAAGCGGTCTCTCAAGCTCTCTTGTTTGCGTAAACACATGATGCCCGTTACAGCTATAATCACTCACAGTCTGCGTGCTCTTTGTCCTCACTGCAATAACCATGTCTTTGAAAGCAACCGATTGGTGATACCTATCGAGCAACAACAGCATGTTGTAGTCCAAATCAAACACACAGGAAGAACCCGACCAAAATCCTCCTCAGCGAACCCTGCCACTCTCCTAAACTCGTCAGCCGAATCAGACAATATTTGATGCAACCGCTTCGAGTCCAAATACTCACTTGCAATCAAAGTATAGTTATCAAACAAGAACCTCGATGTATACGAGTTAATAGACCTCGAAATCGCAAATGAACAAATCGGGCAATCTGAGTAACTCACCCTATTAGTCCTGAAACTCAAACTCTGACCCCCTAACAACAAACCATTACTATTTGCCTCATCCATAAAGGTCCTCTCAATCGATTTCCAATCCAAACCACTCGAGTCCTTACCACCATCGGACCCATAAACATGTATAAACTGAACAATCAATGAATTCTCAAACTGAACAGGAATTCTCAAAGAGGGAACAAGAAGAACCTGGTAAGCACTCCAAACCAAGGATGCCAAGTTAGCAAGCAACGCCTTTTGAGACCTTGGGCGGCCGTGCAACGCCGCCAACGGATGAAATTCGCCTCTGGGCAAAACCCCATCACCTGAAAGCCCCGGGCCATAATCGACAGGTCCGGCGCCCAAATCGATCCAGATATACCGGTCTTTCCCGGTCCAAATGCTGCCCAAACACTTGGTGAATGCAGGGGAAGAGTCCCCAGATCCGTAATTGTAAGCATAGGGTTTGGATTGCTGACCCAAATCGAGAAAATATAAGTAAACCCCATGAACCGGCTTCTCCTTCTCGAAGTCCTGCTTGATGATTTGGTCGATTGAGTCGTAGGGGATTGAGATGAGCGGCGATCGGAGGCTGGAAGGGGTTTTGGCGAGCTCGGAGCTTAGGGTTTTAGTGAGGAGGGAGGCGAGAGAGGGGGAATGAGAGACGCCCAGGTGGAGAGAGTGCTGGACGGCGATGCGGTGGGAGAGGGATTCGTAGGGCGCGATGACGTGGAAGTGGTTGGAGGGTTGGGAGGCGGCGGAGAGGAAGGAGGAGAGGAGGGCGCTGGAGCTGGAGGGGAAGGAGGGGCCGACGAGGCGGACGTGGAGTGAGAGAGAGAGGGAGAGGGAGAGGAGGGAAGAGATGAGGGAGTGGGGGGCGTGGGAGTGAGGGGAAGAATGGGAAAGGGAGTTTTTGAGGGAGGAGGAGAGAGAGAGGAAGGAGTCGTTGGTGGCATGGCGGTCAAGGCGGGATTGGTGGGTGAGGATGGTGTCGAGACCGAGGATCGGAGCTGAGCTGGCGGTGGTTATGGCGGCGGTTAGGATCAGGAGAAGGAGGAGAGTGGTGGTGGCGGCCATGGTGGTGGCCATGGCGGTCATCGAGGTCACTGTGATCTCACTGATTTGATGGACTGAAATGAAGTTGTGCGGTTTGGTGGTCTGAGGGCCTCAGACTGAGGCTCTGCATTCAATTTCGTTTTTCTTTTGTTTTTTCTTGTTTAGGGAAAAAAATGAGGCTCTGTTTGGGGTCTTTCTGTTCAGAAAGCACTTACTTGAGCAAAAAATATTCAAAAAGCACTTTTCTTTACAAGTCTTTTTTGTATTAAAAGTGCGTTTTTGATCAAATATAAAATAAAATAAAATCCAAAAATATGTTTACTAGAATGATGTCGAAATTTAAACTCAAAAGTGCTTACAGTAAGTCCACTTACAAGTACTTTTTAAAAAATCACTTTTAAGTGTTTTTATACAGGGTAATGCTTTTCAAATACTCATCTTAATTTTTGGTCATCGGGTCAAATGAATTGCAGAAAATAAATGACAAAAAATTAATAAAGGTGTGTGTAAGCGATTCTAAGTATTTGAACCTTTACTTACATAAACACGTCACGAATAATAACACAACTCACATTGCAACATCATAAAATCAAACACTATCATTAGCATCACAATTTAGTAATATTTCTAATTGCAACACATTAAGTTCGACTCTTATAAATAAACGAGCTAGATATCTAATTGCGGCTAGCTCAACCATTTGTTTGATTGACAAGCGTGGAGTTATATAACAAAATGCATCGGTGTTTCCAATAGTGGACACTATTCTTTCTTTTACAAATTTCCACATCGGCATATCCGTAGGCATTCTTAGATTTTAGGGTTCACTTTTGGCGTTTGTTAACACTCAAATCCAAACCACATCGAACTTTTGGGTCTTGGGGTTTAACAAACATAGTACGGACACAAAAATGTTGTCGCAGAATGCTCCGAGATCATCGTCTCCTTTGTTTTCTGTTACAAAACAGTTGTGGCAACGGAAAACTAATCAGGATACATCCAAAACAAGCACACAAGTTATATATACACTCCAACATCCTTCCTTACAGCACAAGCAACCACATCGACAACCACCACGAATCTAATAACGACGAGGGGAGCAGTTTATTTGGAGAGATGGAGTTCATGTTGGTGAAGAATGAAGAGATCGCAGGGAGGCGCCATCTGAGCACAGCAGATCCGGAGGCTGAGGCGGCCCGGTGTGTCAAGAGAAGGAGAAGAGACCCGCCTGCAGTTGGTGGCAACAGAGAGAGTCAGCAGCAGTTGGCACAAAAGCCGGCTGATCAAACTTCTGCTGCCACCACAGTAAAGAGAAGCTCGAGATTTCGCGGTGTCAGCAGGCATCGGTGGACTGGTCGATTCGAAGCTCACTTGTGGGACAAGCTATCTTGGAATTCAACACTGAAGAAGAAGGGGAAACAAGGTAGGTTATGACTTTCATCGTCGCATTTTACCTGTATTTCTTTTTTCGCCTGGATACTGATATCGTATCGCGCTTTTGAATGGACTATTTGGACTGAGCAGTTTATCTTGGAGCTTACGATGAAGAAGAATCTGCTGCAAGAGCATATGATCTAGCTGCACTTAAGTACTGGGGAGCATCGACTTTCACCAACTTTCCGGTACGAATTTTACGTAGTCTGTCGAGTTTATATTCAGAAAAGCTTAAGAATTTTAACGTAAAATATCTGATCTTAAACCTTGATGATTCTGCTTACAGATATCTGACTACGACAACGAAATCGAGATCATGCAATCTGTGACAAAAGAAGAGTATTTGGCCTCGTTAAGAAGGTAACATCTTCAAACATCTTTTCGCAGAAAGACTTTCACCGAGGATTTTCGTTTAATAGTTTCCTGAAAGAATTATTTGTTCCTTTGTTTCAGAAAGAGCAGTGGATTTTCAAGAGGTGTATCGAAGTACAGAGGAGTTGCAAGGTAAAATTCTCAAAATTACGATGATCTTCGAATCAAATCCTGCGAAATATTACTAATGAAGAAAGTGTCTGAAGAGCTGTTTGATGAATATTTTGCAGGCACCATCACAACGGTAGATGGGAAGCGAGAATTGGAAGAGTTTTTGGAAATAAGTACCTTTACCTTGGCACTTACGGTGAGTTATCTCATTATTTGTGTTCGAATCCACCTCTCTCCAAATATCGCTTGTATCAGGAAAATATAATGAAAAAGGAGTTTCCAATTACTAAGAAATGTGCCTTTATCGCGTTGCAGGTACGCAAGAGGAAGCAGCTCGTGCCTATGACATTGCAGCAATTGAGTACAGAGGGATCAATGCCGTGACCAACTTTGACTTGAGTTCTTACATAACATGGTTGAAGCCAAGAGCAGACAACGTGATAGCTACTCCACAGGTACCAGAGGCAGTCACAAAGCCCAAGAATACACCATTCGCGGCCAGCAGCTACATCACAACCGAGGAATCTCCCTTCTCACTCACAAATCCTTTTGCCTCTGATTACGTACACTCTCCTCGAAAGCAAGAAGTTATCAGCAGCAGCAAATCATCTTCTCCCACCGCGCTTGGCCTACTCCTCCAATCTTCAGTATTCAGAGAACTGGTTCAGAAGAACTCAAGTTTCTCGGAGGATGATAGCACTGACGGTGAAGAACCAAAGAACCAACCGCAGGCTGATAGCGATGATGAGTTCGGTGGAATAATCTACAACGGAATTGGTGGCAGCCCTTTTGTTAGCTCTTCCAACACTGATGGAGACTTTACATGGAATAGCTTTACAAGCTCGATTTTCGCGTAGTCAATCAACACAAGCGGATGCCTCAGACTCGAAATGTTTCTTTTCTTAGACACAAACGAAACGAAACAGAACTTGTTCATACTTGTAAATAGCAGAAATGGAGCATCAAAAGTAAATAGCATGAGATTTGGTGCTGCATTTCGTTGTAAATTAAACCACGTAAAGCATTGCTTACATGTAATATTCTCAATTACATCGAGTGTACAAACTCTTTTTGATTTTCCATCTCACCTCATTTTAATCTATAAGACTATTAGACTGAGACTAATACGCTTTCAAGTTTTTGTTTCATCCGTTCTCCTTTGTTTTTGGATTTCAGAACTTTTCAACATGATCATCCTTGGAAAAAAAGACAGGACAAGAAGCATTGGCGAAGTCCCTAAAGAGGAGACATCCGATTTGCATTGGCGAAGTCTCTAAAGAGCAGACATCCGACTTCTTCAACATCGTTGACACTACCAATAACAATTCGACTCCCGTTGACAGCCAGGGCACAGCACCTTGTGCTGTTATTTGTTCCATATTCAATACATGTCAAGGAATTGATCAGTGCACCAGTGTTGACGTCCAAAACATTAAAATGCGTATCCACCGGACTTCCTGTAACTATTTTGTAGGGATCCATGTGCAAGTACGTCACTGGCCCTCCGTGTCCACCATCTACCACTATTGGTTCTGAATTCAAGGTGCCCAAGTTCTTCCTTGTATCGTAAAGCATCGCTCTGCACACAAGACCAATGAACTTGGAGTTGTATAAAATGGTTTTTGACCTCAAACGAACACGGGCATTAAAAATAAATGAAACCAAGGGAATTGAATTCTATGCGTCGTACCTGCCATTGCTGCCTACGCAGAATAAAGATTTGGAAGGCATTGCTTGAAAAGAATACAGAATTGCACCTGCTGCTGCAATGACAACTTTCTGCATCGTCCTCAAATCGATTGCTACCACAGAGGAACCAGCAGCAACATAGGCTAGATGTTCATGACACTTGATGCCTATAGGGTAACCGAGAACAGAAGTCGCCCCACCGGCAAACGAAGAACTGGCAAGCAGTGCTGCCTCCGTATCCCACACCATCACCTGTTAAAAACCACAGTAATCAATCATCAAAAAGGCAATGGCAAAATAACATAATTTTTCAAGAGGATGACCGGATTGCTTAAGAACCATAGTTGAATGGATTTACAAAACTAAGGGTACCTTAGAATCTCTCGAAATCGTTACCAAGTGAGAGGGGTTGTCCCTACAAGTAAGACCAAAATGAATACGATTACTATGGAGTAAAATGTGTCACCGAAATCACAAGAAACATTTTCAAATGAGTCCATATCATTACAAGGAAAGAACTCATACATGGAAACTGACATCAACTGGATGGGATTTTTATGCCCGAAGAAAGTCCCCAAAGAATGCTTGCCCTGTTTCCTGAAAAAGCTAAGAGACCAAAGGCGAACCGTGCCATCCTCCCCTCCGCTTGCAAATACTTTTCCGGCTCCATTGCCTAACAATTTATCTGAGAGGGTTGTAACTTGGCTACTATGCCCCCTAAATTGTCGCCAGCAATAACCCTGTGACAATATTGGTTTAGGAAATCACATGTACTATATAGGAAAACTTAAAGAAACAGATATTTGATAGATTTGTTTAGAAAAAAAAGATTAAGAGCACACCTTCCTCCATAGCCGAATGGAACTATCATCGCTTGAAGTTACTAAAACCTTCTCCGGTTTATATAGTTTATGTAGATACAAAGATGTTTCATTCAGTGGAAACAACCTGCAATTTATGTCAAGGTTCTTAGGGTTAAAAAAACCTGAACATTCCGAGAAAATTTAGTTGATAAACAGTGTGTCATCGAGTTAAAAATCATTAGACAACGACTAGAACTCAAAACCAATGTATATCAAGTGGAACACAAGAGCTCTGTAAGCGCCCCCAAAAGCTTAAGTTAAAATGCTCAGATAATAAGGCATAGCGAGGGAAAACCGCACACAACCAACCTCATGCAAGTGATTCTTTCACTGTGATCACTAAGAGTGACGGGTCCTCTACTTAACCAATCCTCAGGCCTTATCATGCGTATCAGTGAACCCTAACAACAATCAACCAATAACAAAAAAAACGAAACAAAGTTAAAACGCTCAGCTATTCAAATACACGGAAGAATGTGATGTAATATGATCATATATATATATATATATATATATATATATATATATATATATATATATATATATATCTATATATATACCTGAGAGAAGATTAAATCTTTCTCGGTCAATAATACTTGGTCGAAAGGATTTGAGTTGGTGTTCATCTGCAAAGTGAAAGGATCGGAAAACTTGAACTGCAGCCCATCCATACGCCGAGATAAATAGGCTTCTCTAAATCCCGAAGTTATAGAGATGGCAGAAGGTAGTGTTTTCTGGGGCCAGCGCTCCCTGCAAAGAAAGTTTTATTTCTTTGAACAAATGAAAGAAATACAAAATTGGGAAACTTGCATAAATACCACCCAAGCTAAAAAATTTGTCAGCTTAAACTAATACTCTACTTCTAGTGTAAATGTGTCAATCTCCGTTAGAAATCGCACCAATACTCGTCGTGCCAAACGAAATATCTTCAGTTCATGTGGTATTTGCGCACACCCCTGGTAGTCTATGTGATGTTTATTCAAATTTTTTCTTGACAAGAACAAAAAGGAGTAGAAGAAGTACCTGAACAACCGCTCCCAAATAGCGTCAGAATATGCCATTTTTCTGAGATATTTGCAGGTCACGGCAAAGTTGGAGAGGTCTTGGAGGCTAATGGAGCTGGTGCATTGCCCCAGCGTATCCGCATTCAGGTCCTTGATGCTCGTCGCCGGCGGCGGCAGCAACCGCGACTTACCCCTCCGTTGCATACTCATCTGCTGCTGCAGAAATGGTGAAGAGAATGGCCCAATTTCTTCCATCGAATATTTGCTTACTCTTCAAGTATGCTGTAATGACTTCCACAGTTCCACTGCAACATTTATAAGAAGTGTGCAGTCCACTTGAAATCTGAACCGTCAATCTGATCAAACGGCTGAGGATCAAACCAACTAAGTCCTGCTCTCTGCACTCTTTTTTACTGCAGTGTAGAAGTAACACTGATTTGGAAAGATTTGGATTTTAATGGTGGTGATTTTTTTCCCAGATTTGGCAGAGGATATCATGTAAGTTTTGGAAAACAATTAATGGGGTTTTCCTGCAAACTGAGCACAGCAGTTCAAAGGTATACTTTTACAGTACTAGTACAGTTCTTCATGATCATTTCAATGGCAGGGGGCATCTGCCCACCCAGACCTGAAAAACTGCCCCTACCGGCTGAAATTTTGCCCACCCATACAGGAACATTAATGAGCCGTGGCAGCTAAGCTTCCGCGAACGGCGCAGTCAAATCCCGGTTGTTAAATATTATTTTTGACGGAGAGGTGTCGTAGTATTAGTCCGGCGGTGGAAGTTGCAGAGGAGGTTGGCTTCTGGGAAGAAGACGACACTGTTTTTTTTTTGTTTTGGCTTTAAAATCTTTGTGTTAGTTAAACGGGGAGTTTTTGGCTCATCGGCGGAGGTGGTGGTCGGAAATGAATCAAAGCCTTAACTGTTGGGATTTGGGAGTGAAGAGTTTACAAGTTGGTGGGAAACTCAGAACGGTAGAGAACGGTAAAAATGTTGCCGTTTAACTGTTTTGTCACGAAGGAGTTATGTTAAAGTTTTGACTGGACCAACTTACGAAAGACTTTTGTGAAGAGATTTTTTGGTGCGTCGGAAACACGGTTCGTACCTCAAATGTAAGAAAAAAATTATTTAAATCCATATAACTTTGTTCTACACCCAACTTAAATTTTAAACGTGAATAATACTTTTTGAATAATGGTATTTATACCATGTTTTTGTATTACATTTCTATACCACTTTAGATGACATCTGATGTGGATAGCCACATCATTTGAATTAATCAGATTTTTAAATTTAGTTCATTATTTAATAAACTAATAATTAAGAAAAACTAGTTAATTAAATGATGATTGTAGAATACGAGTAATCTTTCTCTTTCCTAACGAGTAATTAAGAAAAACTAGTTAATTAAATGATGATTGTGATATATGAGGAGTCTTTTTCTTTACTTTCCTTTGGTTTTGCAAATTTTTCAAATGATGTGGTTGTCCACATCAGATGCCACCTAAGGTGGTATAGAAATGTAGTACAAAACATGATATAAATAACATTACTCATACATTTTAACCTATTGCATAATTATCATCAAGTACAAGATGATGAAACTAAAATTTATCAATAAACCTACCTCCAATAATATGTAAATATAAATTTACATATTGAATTGAGTTTGTGAGGGTAGTTTAGGACATAAATTTGGGTTTAAAGAAATATTAATAGATTAGTTAAAAGTAATATGAGTGTAGAAAATAAGTTGAGTGTAAAAAGAGATTATATGGATTCAAATAAAATTTTCCCGAATGTAATAATTCAATTAAATGAAACTTGATAAAAGAAATTTTTAACTAATTGTAATACGACACTTGGTGTACCTAAATGCATTCTGACACTGAAAATTTTTTCTTTTTAAGATTCCATCTGAAATTGCCAAAAGATCTTGTAAATTTATTTGACGGAAGAAAAATAAAAGTGCTTGTATTTTATAGTTGTTTGTTTCTAAGAAGTACCCGTTAAATGCTTTTTCAAAAAGCACTTGTGTGCTTTCTAAATTTCAGGGCATTTACAACAAAATAACTTCTGGCAGAGACACCTATGACCATAAGTGATTTCCGGAGAAGCAAAAATCCCAAATGAGGACAAATTTTATAAACTCACTACGAGACTGCTACTATAGTAGCTCTCAAATTGCAATATATATATATATTCAATTTATCCTCACAACTGTAACATGCTCGATTTCAGAACATGACATATTCCCTCTATGTAAAAACGACCGGAATAATATATGCAAAAGTGCTTATTAGGAAGGAACACCGGATATTGCAAACAACGCAACTGCACCCATCTCTACAATTCGTTCGGGGATATGATGGGGAGGAGATTTACAGAAGATTATGCGAAAGAACGAAGGATCATCTGTAATGGTGTGTTCTGAGTCCCAATCCGACTAAAATATGAAGACCACGCTGTCGTGAACTCTGGACTTCTGGTTCTGAGCCACAC